CCTGGTGGTTAAACTAGCAGTCTTTTCCCAATTTTTACTTTGCTAGGGGAATTGGAGCACAGGTTAGCTCTTGCTTAATGCACAGCAAATGTTTGCAGATTCATCAAGTTCTACTGCTTTGGGGGTACAAAGGGAATTGATGAGTTTTAGTACTGAGGAAACTTCATCTATCTCACTCAGAGCTACAGTCATATTCCATCAGTTCCCTCTCCGGAGGTGAATAGCATTTTTCAGCATAAGTCCTTTGAAATTGTCTTGGGTCACTGCATTCGTCGAAATAACCAAGTCCTTCACAGTTGATCATCATTCACTATTGCTGTTACTATGCACAATGTTCTCCTGACTCTGCTCACTTTATTTTGGGTGAGTTCATATAAGTCTTCCCAGGTTTTTCTGAGAGCATCCTGCTCATCATTTCTTAGAGCACAATAGCATTCCATCACAACCATATACTACCACTTGTTCAGTCAAGCCCCAGTTGATGGGCATCCCAATTCTTCGACACCACAAAAAGAGCTGCTATGAATATTTTGTACGGTAAAATTAAAAAGTGATCTTAATTCTATTTTAAAGAGTTAATCAAGCTGGCATGGGTTTAATACTCACCCATGCCTTACAAATCCAAACTCCTTACCTTTGTCTCTTCATTTATCTACATTCAGAGAAACTTGCCTAAAGGTCAAGCTTTTGTCCTGTAATTACCCAGGACTCAATTCTGTTGTGAACTGAATCTTCACCCTTGTATTGTCTACCTTTGTAACCTCATCCTCTACCCACTGAACTTAAATTCAGAGGTATTTGGGGTATACCAGGAGGACCAGTATTAATGGTGTGAGGGCTTGCCAAACCCTTTTCAGGGCTGCTCATTCACCTTTGATGCCCATCTTTCACCTAGCTATCATCACCTGGGGCTCCAAGAAGCTGTAGAAAGCACAAGGGGCCATACATGAGTTAACTATCTGGGCAGATGGGCCAAACCTGGTTGTGGGTAACCATTGGGCCTCAAACCTGTGGGTGAGTAAGAGAGATGTCTACCCTAAGCATTTAGAGACTTCCCTGGCAAAACAGACAAATGAGAACAATCTGTTCAGCTGTGAAAGCAGTTGAAACAGGCCCTTAAGGTGGGGCACTTATAGTTTAGTCAGACATTGAAGACACCAAAGTAATCCACTGCATCCAGGCCATGGACAGTTGTCCTGACTTTTGTCTTGCCACTGTACTGATGACTCTGGAGGAGACAGTGAGGTTGATGACTTTGTGCAACTCTACCTCACTTAAATCCAATTCACCCAAGATTCAAGTCGTCAGCCTTCTTAGAAAAACAAAGGCAAACAAGTCAAATTCAAGCTGATTCAATCAAAGCCTAGAAGTTTCCACCCAAGTCTGTAGACTAATCCTCTCACCTGAGGAATACTCTTACCTCCCAGCAAGGAAGATATGGGAAGTAACTGAGGTGACTTAACCCACCTCTTCTTAAAATGCCTACCAAATGAGATTTTCATCATGTAATGTCAGGTCAATTAGGAGACGACATACAGCACTGAAGATTTTGATCTGTCATCTTGTCAATTGTTATAAAAGACCCTGTCAGGGGCAGCTAGGTGGTGAAGTGGATACAGCTCTAGCCTTGGAATCAGGAGGACCTGAGTTCCAATCGGGCTTCAGACACTTGACATTTACTAGTTGTGTGACCTTGGGCAAGTCATTTAACCCCCATTACCTCACCGAGGAGGAGAAAAAAAAAGGAAGACTTATTCTTAGGGTCTTTGGTCATTGAGAGAGGCCATCAACCCAATTTATTGGGTACTGTTAGCCTAACTAATAAATTGATCATGCTCAGAACCCTGTCTCTCAGTTTACCTTGATTTCAATCCTAACAGTACATATATAGGACCTTTTCCTTTTTCTTTGATCTCTCTGGGATACAAACCTAATAGTGGTATTGCTGGGTCAAAGGGTATGCACAGTTATATAGCTCTCTGGGAATAGTTTCAAACTGTTCTCCAGAATGCTTGGATCAGTTTACAACTCTACCAACAGTTCATTAGTGTCACAATTTTCCCACTTCCCCTCCAATATTTGTCATTCTCCCCTTCTGTCATATCAGCCAATCTGATAGGCGTGAGATGGTACCTCAGAGTTGTATAAATTTGCATTTCTCTAATCAAGTGATTTAGAGCATCTTTTCATATGACTATAGATAGCTTTGATTTCTTCTTCTGAAGACTGCCCATTCATATCCTTTGACGATCTATCAGTTGGGGATACAATGGGGATACAATGACTTGTACTCATAAATTTGATTCACTTCTCTATTTATTTGAAAAATTAGGCCTTTATCAGAGAGACTTGCTGTAAAGTTTTTCTTGTTTCCTGCTTTCCTAGATGTCCCATTCTTAATTAAGGAGGTCAAATGTTATCTGTTTAGGGATCCTTTTCAAGTTTTGTTTGGCTGTACTATCTGTCCCAGACATACATACTGATGGGCAAGTTCTACAGGCTGTCCAGCCAACTTTATGCTGTAATCTGGGTAAAAGGCATTCTTCATCCACTTGGCCTTTCTGGTATGGATAGTCAAGCCAAACTTCTTTGACTGATTATTGGACTGGCTATTAGAGTTCTGCCTCTAACACATTCTGGTTATGTGACCAGACAAGTTACTTTACCTCTCAAACAGTGGAAGCAGTTTTCACAGGAGAGTCCCCCAAACTGATGAAATCACAGTTCAAAAAACAAAAAAATCTCTCCAAAATTTTCTTTTTTGTAGGCTAAACATACACAGTTCCTTCAACTGATGATTTTCAATTCCCTTCACCATCCTAGTTGCCAGACTTTTTGTTTCAGCTTGTTAATGGGGTTCCTAAAATATAGCACCCAGAATTGGACACAGTTCTTAAAATGTGATTGGGCCAGCGCAAGTACTGCCAACTCCCTCATTCCGGACGCTAGACTTCCATTAATGCAGGCCAAGTTTGCACAAACTGTTTTGGCTGCTATGTCATACTGTGGATTTAGCCACATGGTCAGAGCTGTGCTTTAGGGAAATTGCTTTAGAAGAGTACACAAGTGTGCAGAATGGAAATTTGAGACATGGAGAGCAATTAGAAGGCTATTGAAACAGCCAAGAATAAGGGCAGAAATGGAAAATTAACAGACGTGAAATATTTGACTAAATAGAGGTGGGGTTGGGGGGGAGAAAGGATCAAAGGTAACACTATGGTTTTTAATCCTAGGTAACAGAGTGAAAAGGTCTGTCCTTGAAGTAAAACTCCAAAAGGTTCAGTTTTGGGGGAAAAGTGACAAGTACCAATCTAGGCATGTTAAATTTGGGGTACTCTAGGACATTTAAGTGGAGGCATCCCGTAGGCATTCAGAAGTACACCTATTTAATAAGGGTGTACCAAGTGAAAGGCAGAGAAATTGGGAGACATCCCTAAACAATAATATCCCTTTCCAACTCCATCAACAACAGTCCTCAAGCAACAGGGGTAAGTTCTTTCCCAAAGCAGAGAGGAATCTTGGGTAACCCAGTATATTAACTTAAGCCACAGAAGGGATGAGAGAGGACCAGCGTGATAGTATTGCTGCTTATTATAACATAGTCCAATAAAGGAAAGTATTTCAAGGGAAAATATCTCAGCCTTAAATGTGTGATTTAAACTGCTATCTCAAATCGATCTGAGAACACTAAACCTGGAATTTTAAAAAGTTCTATATTCAAGCTCTGGTTTTATAAAGTTGTAAAGCTCTACATTACTTTGATCTCCCAGAAAAGCCCAAAAGGTACCATGAAACTGTAACCTAGAGTTGTGGTGAAGAGAAATAGCTTCTAATGCAGTCTCAACCACAGAACGCTGTGGGAGATCACATTAGGTACCTCAGGAGCAAAAGAAATGTGATGAGCCAGTTAACCCAAGGGTCTAACAGTTTGGACACAAACTCAATTCATTGTTTATTAAACACTTGTAATGCCAGCAAGGTTCCACATAGAAGGTGGCACCTGCTCTGAAGGAGGAAGGACAGCATTACTGACATGGTTTGGTAAAAGGCCGTTACAGGGACCTCAACAAGACAGTCGCCTTCATGTGTTAAATCTGAAAACAACTTTATAGCATGCAAAACACTTAATTTCTATCAAATCTTTGGCCTCCCTGGGGCGTTTGCTCATTTGTAAAATGGGAATATTAAGCCCATTTATTATTTGCGCCACCTATATCAAAAAGGTTCTGAAACCTTAAAAGCGATATTAACACAAGGTACCATGAGTGCCAGGTGTTACTCAGTGAGCCTGCACGCCTGTTTTCTAATCTACCAAATGGTTAATAATACGGGGAAGAGTGGGGGGAAAGGGTCAGGATGCAAAGACCTCTCACTGGAAGAAATGAGTGACCTGGGGTAGGTTGAGTAAAGCGGGAGGGAGATCCGGGAAGGGGCCAGGGAACAGTAATCTCTTGGTCCCGGCCAGGTCAACCCCAGCCCCCACCCAGGAAACAGCAAGCTAAGGCGCGCGCGGGAAACTAAAGGGGAGGGGTAAGGAGAGAAGTGGAAAGGGAAGCTAAAATCCTGGGTATTTTGCACTCGCGCCACGCGGAGGCCAGGTCAACCGACCCCTACTAATCTCCCAATCCCAGGCCTCCACAGGAGGCCAACGGGTGGAGTCCAATGCTACAATCCAAAGGCCGTCACCGCCCAGTCTAGTCTACTCCTTGCCAACAGTCCGTAGGGAGGGTCTTTCCTCTTTGCTCTTGGCTCCCCTCCCCCACCAGCTGTCTTCGGTCCAATCAGCAGGCACTTCCTGTCCTCTCTTCTAGCCAATCCGCATCCTCCACGAAGAGTAGCCCTAGGGGGCGTGTAGGGAGGTATCTGGAGCGATGGTCATACCGACCAACGGAGTGCTAGCACGATGAGAAAGGGGCAGGGTTGAGACCCAGGATCGACCAATCAGTATCTAGGGGTGGAGCCTGGGTAGGGCGCCGCGCGCGGTGGGGCTCGTTCGGCGTCCTCTTAGCTCTGAGGCACGTGACGTTCGCTTCGGGCTGATCCGCTGCAGCATCCGCGGTGCTGGGCGTGGGGCGACGGGGTGGGAAGTGGCGCCGGCGCCGGCCGTGAAGCACGAGGTGAGACGGACGCAGCTGCCCTGGTCCTGGGGATGGGGCCAGACGGGGCTTCGGAGGTCGGCTGCACATCAGAGGTGGAGGAGGGCTGGCCTAGGCTGGCCAGGCTGAGCGGTGGGGGAAGAGGCCTGAGGCCCTGGGGGCCAGGGGACTGGTGGCAGTGACGCGGCCTGGGGTCGGGGGCCGGGGTTGCCGAGCGGAGGAGCGGGCTGGAGCCGGGCCCGTGTGGAGATTTGTGGGCGCCGTGCGGCCTGCGGAGGGAGGCCGGGCGGGAGGTCAGTGGGTCCGGAGCCTGGAGGGGGGCGTGACCTCCGGGCCGGGCTTGCCGGCGGGCGGCGGCCCAGGCGCCTCAGTCGCCTCAGAGGTCCGCGTGCCTCTTGCCTGTGCGCTCATCCTTTGGCGGGCGGTGGGCGGCCTGGCCCAGCCCGAGTGGGAAGGCCTCTGGGGAGAGACAGGCCTGGGGCTGCGCGGGGGAGAGAGAAGCCATCTTCCCCCGTCGAGGCAGGAGCCCGGGAACGTACCGGACGAAGAAGGCCAAATCCTCCCGGGCCCGAGGTGGCTGGGGTATTGGGAAACCGGCGATTCCGAAACGGGGGCAAGGGTGGGAAAGAGGACCTCGATCATGGGGTTAGGTAACTTGTTGGGAAAGAAACGCCTAGGAGACAGGCCGAAAAACTTGTTCCTAGGCTGATGCATATGTTCATCTATCTATATATTTATGTTTAGAAAATCATAAGTATTCCAGAGAGTTTTTGGAATCTTTCTTCTGAAAGAAGACCTTTCAAGGTGCAATCCCCTTGTTTTAGTGGTCCAGAGAAGGGGAGCAACTTGCCCAAGGTCACACAGCCAGGTAATTGGCAAAGCTGGAAATTGAACCTAATTCTTCTAACACTTTATTTGGAGCTCTTTAAGCCCATGCTATTCTCTGGGTCCCTTAAGCTCTGACACAGTACTAGAAGTAATATTTTTTTCTTTTCAGACATTACATTCTCTTCTTTAAATTCTCTTGTCTTCCGATCCCATTGTGATATGGGTGCTCCCCAAGGGACTTTCTGTCCTTAGACTTTTTCACTACAAGCTTTCCCTTGGCAATACCTCTCTCCAAGCTTCTAAGCTTGTGCAGATAATTCCTTAATTTATAGCTCCAGACGCATCTCCAAATGCCTAAGGAATATCTTCACCTGGATATCCTACCTAGAACTCAACATGTCCAAAAGCAAATTAATTATATCTTTACCAAAACAATCTCCTGACTACTGGTTTGTATCACCACTGTCTATCTCGTTTTCCCTGAGGGCAGCAGTACTTTTGTACTGGCAGGTGTTGTTGAATTTGTTGAATTGATTCAAATTTTTGGAGTCAATCAGTGACTAGGTTCTCTGGAATCCATTCTTGAACTCTTAGCCCTTTTCAGTCCTTCATTCCAATGCCAAAATGATTTTTGAAAATAGATCTGGTCATGCCACACTTGTAACCAAAAGATCTTTTAAGTGGCTATTGCCTCCTGAGTAAACTTCAACAAATATTCCTGGTATCCAAGACTCCAAGCCTGGAGTCTCCTCATCTGCCTTCCCAGTTGTTCTCTAACATGTTCTGATTCCAGCCAAACTGGACAACTTTGTGCTCCTGAGCACATAGTGCACTCAACTTTATGCCTTTGTTGTAGTTGTTCCTCTTTCTCCCTAGTCATCTTTTGAAATCCTACCCATCTTTTAAAATCCAATTTAAATTTTACTTCCTTGATAATCACATTCTCCTCAGATCTCATGTGGCATTTTGCTTTCTAACTTTTCAAGGTACTTAATATGATACTGTGTTGTATTAAATCTGTATTGGTGTTGTACAGCTTAGCACACACCATTTCTCTGTATTAGTAGGGGCTTAATAAATGTTTGGGGAAGGGAACAAACATTTATTGACCGCCTGCTTATGTGTCAGGCACTGTGCTAAGACTTTTGCAAATATCTTATGTGAGGTGTTGGGGAGAAGGGATGGAAATTGAGCTGTTTAACATAAGCAAAGGCATTTATAAATGCTGATGAAGAAAAAATAATTGGAATTGGTGTAGACCTCACTCCTGCCACTAAGGGACAGTTGGAAGGCAATACTTTGTCATGTGTCTACAGAATGAGAGAAGAAAGAACTATGCTGGAAGGGAAACTCCGAATTTCTTAAACTTTTGAATTAGATTTTTTGTGTGGATTTTAATATTGTTTTGGAGTCAGGTTTTGTTGATTTTTTTTTTCTTTCTTAAATGGGGCACTATTGTGATTATCTGTTGGCAAATATAAAGTGTATCTTTTTTGAGCCATGGATTGAGACAGCTTTTCTTTCAATTTCTTTGGCTCTAGTCAGGGCTTAAGAGTAATTATAAATTGCATGGTACTTCTCACCTTGTACAATCTAATGTAGTAAGTGAATGAATTTAAAGAAGCTTTGGTTAAAAAAAAATCTTAAAATTAGAATTAAAGTGAATTGTGTGACCTGGCACTTACAAGTACATGTAATGAGTTAAATTTGAGACTTGTGGACAGGGTTTTTTTAAAGATGTTGAGGGATCTGAGTAGTCTTTTCTGATTTTATTAATACAAAAGTTGTATCTGTTTTAAGTGCCTTTATCACAGTAAACAGATCCTTGGTGTCAGAATATGGAAACCAGGCTTTTGTTTTTGATAACTAGCATTAAGCTGTCCGGTGATAATCTTACAAGGCCCACTGGGTTATGTGGTTCTGTAAAAAAATCCTTGCTGCTACTCTGTTAAATAACATTAGGCAGTGTTTGCCCCCCAGATAAGGCAATTTTGGTCTGTAAAATGGTAGCTAACATTAGGGCTGAGTAATAAATGGTGCTTATATGTACCAGATTTAAAATTTCAGGGTTTTATGTCACTAGTTTACTATTCTCTCCTAATGCAATTTAATCTGGGCTTCACAGTTTCTTCTGTAGTTTGGAGAAATAACATGGAATTCAAACCAGATGATGGCTCCAAGAATATTTTGAAAACCATAAAATGCTACTCAAATATATACTAAAATCACTGTAAGATATGGCAGCATCCCTAGCGTGTATGTGATTCAGTACACTGTATTGAAAATGGAATGTTAATACTGAGTTGAAATAATAAAATGCCTAGAATGACAATACAGAGAATTCTGAAGTAAATTTAAATTTTATGTTTGTGAACAGTTGTTTGTTTTGTAAAAAATCAGAGACTTGGATATTTAGCATTACTATTTCACAAGTACAGTTGTAAAGAATAAACAACCAGGTCGTCTGTTATTAACAAAGGCCAATAAAAGAGAAATAAAGCAATAGTGAAAATTATTGTTGCAATTGATGGATGGTAGAAAAGCCTAGGAGGATATCACAGAATCTGAGAAGTGGAAAGGACCCAAGTGAAAATGGGACTCGATCTTCTTGACTTCCAGTGGAGTGAACAGAGGCCCAGAACAAGGGGAGTTTCTTGCCCAAGGTGTCCAAGCTAAGTAGCAGAACAGAGATTCAAGCCTGCGTCTTCTGACTCTAAATCTCACTGTCTTTTCTTTTATGAAACACTTTTTTCCCTTTTTTCCTCTTATTTTATTTATTTATTTATTTTTAGCAAGGCAGTTGGTTAAGTGACTTGCCCAGAGTCACACAGCTAAGTATCATGTGTTTGAGGCTGAATTTGAACTCAGGTCCTCCTGACTACAAGGCCGGTGCTCTATCCACTGCGCCACCTAGCTGCCCTCCTCTTATTTTTAAAATAAAATTTTATTGATTTTTTTTTAGTTTTATTTTTTACATCACCAAAATTTTCCAAATATCCTCCAGCAAGTCATTTCATATGACTGTTTTGAGAAAGGGGGTGGGAGGCATCGACAGAATTGATAAATACATCAAGAGAATCTGAAATACTACATCCATGGACCTCCCGCCTGTAGGTTGGGGGATATCATATCTTTACTTCAGAACTTGTTCTTTATAATTTTGCAACATTTGCTTTAGGGAGGGGGGGAGGTTTTTTTGGGTTCTTTCCATTTATATTTTTGTCACTGTGTTTTCTTGTCTCTTCACTGTGTATCACTTAATGTAAATCTTTCCATGTTTCTGCATCATCATAGTCATCACTTCTTTACACCAGAGTAATATTCCATTACGTTCATGTACCATAGTTTGTTTAGCCAATCTTCAGTTGATGGTCATCTACTAATGCTGCTATAACCATTTTGGAGTACATAGAATACTTCTTAACCTTTTGTTTTTTCCTTCATTAAGTGTTTGCTTTCTTTTGGAGCCCTGAAGAAAAATTATGTTAAGCTCTTGAGAAATATTTTCACTTTGGGTCCAGTTCTTTACTTGTAATTGCACAGAAAGGTATGTTTACTATTAACCTCTTTATCCTTTCAACAGTGACCAAAAAATTATATGGACTAACAACCTTAGAAATTTTAGGTCCTATATGGAACTTTTGGTATAGTGAAAAGAGGACCAGACTTAGAGCTAGCTAGTTAACTTTTTTTTTCTTTTCTTTTTTTTTGGCTAGGCAGTGGGGTTAAGTGACTTTCCCAGGGTCACACAGCTAGTGTCAAGTGTCTGAGGCTGAATTTGAGCTCAGGTCCTCCTGACTCCAAGGCTGATGCTTTGTCCACTTTGACACACAGCTGCCCCATAGCTAGTTACTTTCACTGTAACTTTAAGAATAGGTCATTTCCATTCTGTGGGCTTCTATTTCTTCATTTCTAGAGTGAGTGAGTTAGACTTTTAGTTCTCCTGTAATTCTCCTATATTCTCATTCTCTCTCTCTCTCTCTCTCTCTCTCTCTCTCTCTCTCTCTCTCTCTCTCTCGTTCAGAACATTTATTCCATTTGTGAAGGACTTTCAGATAGAGCATTTTTTTTTAAATTGTACACAGGAAAGTGTATTTCCAGCAATCTCTTCAAAAGATTACAGTTTTTGGTGGTCACAGGAATCTAACCCCCTGCTTCCCATAGGTTCAATGTATCAACATTCTAGTTTTTTTACTTTTGCACTGTTTTCTTTGTTGTTGTTGTTAATTTATTTATTTTTAGTTTTCATCATTCACTTCCACAAGATTTTGAGTTTCAAATTTTCTCCCATCTCATCCCTCCCACTGCCCTAAAACGGTGTGCATTCTGAATACCCCTTCCCCTAATCTGCCCTCCCTTCTATCTCTGCCCCCTTCTCTTATCCCCTTCCCTTCTGTTTTCCTGTAGAGTAGGATAGATTTCTACAACCGATTGCCTGTTCATCTCATTTCCCAGTTGCATGTGAAAACAGTTTTTAACACTTTGGGTTCTAAATATTCTCTCTTCCTCCCTCCTCACCCACCCTCTTTGAGAAGGCAAGCAACTCGATACAGGTTATACATGTGTAAGTCATGCAAAACGCTTCCATAGCAGTTATGTTGTGGAAAACTAACTATATTTCCCTTCATCCTAACCCACCCCCCAGTTTATTCTATTCTCTCTTTTGACCCTGTCCCTCCTGAGAAGTGTTTGCTTCTGATTTCCCCCTCCCTCAAACTGCCCTCCCCTTTATCATCTTCCCCCATCCCCTTCTCTGTATTTTCCTGTAGGGTCTCCTATATTCTCTTGAAAGTTATTTGAGGGCCAAAATTAAATGTAAAAGCTGCTGAAGAATACATTTTCCTTTTGGTGAAAACCAAATCTTTATAAATTAGGGAAACTGTCATTTTAATAATAATTTATTGACATTTGTGCAGTGTTTCATAATTTTTGAAGTGCTTGTATATTATCTTATGTGAGCTTAACAAAAATCCTATGAGGTAGGTAATAATAGTATTATCCTCATTTTATAGATGAGGAAATTGAAGTCCAGAGTTAAGT